GCAAAGTGCAATTTTCAAATCAAGGGGGACAAGTACACAGGCTTTTATCACGCCATTGTCAAAACAAATGCAAAGAAAAACTTCATTGCCTAAATCATAAAGGAGAATGGAAGCCGAACCAACTCCCTTGAAGATATCTCGAATGAGTTTGTTGGTCACTTTGAGAACCTGCTAAGGGCCGAGGTTAAAACCGAGGATATCGACCCATCCGTTATTCGAGATGGCCCACTTATCACGCAAGAGCAGCAAGATTCACTTCGTACCCCAATCTTAAAATTTGAAATAAAGGCAACATTGAATGACATTGAGAGTAATAAGGCACCGGGGCCTGATGGATACACATCCATGTTCTTCCAGAAAAGCTAGGACATCGTAGGGGCAGACATTGTCTCAACAGTGCAAGATTTTTTTCAGAAGTGGGCGCCTTCTTAGGCAATAGAATCATGCTTCTCTAGTTATGGTTCGCAAGTCTAGTCACGCGTCCCATGTATCCGACTATAGACAAGTCACTTGCTGCAACACGACATATAAAATTTGCTCGAAGATTATAGCTAAGCGCTTGAGCACCGTGCTTGGTTCTATCATAGATGGGGCACAAACAACATTTGTGAAAGGGCGAAATATATCAGACAATAATCATTTAATGCAACAGCTTCTTCCGCAATATCTACATAAGAGGATATCCCCGCGATGCCTCATCAAAATTGATCTCAGAAAGGCCTTCGACTCTATATCTTGGGCTTTTCTGAGGCAAGCACTTTGTGGTCTTGATTTTCCAGAGATTTTCATTCTGTGGATCATGGAGTGCGCCTCTACTACATTATACTCTAGTTCGATTAATGGGTCTCTTAGTGGACTCCGACAAGGTGATCCGCTCTCACCCTACCTCTTTGTCATTTGCCTTGAGTATCTTTCCAGGCTCATTAATAGGAGCATGGCACAAGGAACGGAATTCAATAATCATCCAAAATGTGAGTAGCTCAGAATTACCCATTTAGCATTTGCAGATGACTTGATGCTACTCTCACGGGGTGATCCAAGATCCATCCAAATTCTTATGGATTGCATTAAAGACTTTGGGGCCAAATCGGGACACTAGATGAACGTGCAGAAATCAAACACGGGGTGGGACAATTGAAATCAAACACTAGATGAACGAGGCGTTTGGAACTTATACGATCAGTCCTCCAAGGAGTGGAATGCTTTTGGATGACAAT